AAGGAAAGGGAGGGGAGGAGCAGAGAGGGGGCTGAGGCATTGATGGGATCTGGAAGAGGTATTGGCTGAGTCCTGCTGTTAATAATTCCATTCCAGGTAGAGGTTTTCACTAGCTAAAAGATCAGCACTGGAAAGAGAGAGTATGCAGAATCCAAATGAAAAGTGGGTATAGGGCTGGAGAGAAGAGCCACAAAAGAGAATGGGGTACAAGGAGATAGCTAAACCAGGGTCCGACACCTGAGTTCTAGTCCTGGTTCACCCCAAACTTCGCACAAGCCATCCCATCTTTCTGAATCTGTTTCTTCCTATCAAACGCGATAGGGTTAACTAGATGACCTTGAACATTCCTTCCCCCTTCTCCTCCCTTCCATTCGACACAGATATTATGAAATCAGAGGCTTTCATAAATGGAACCTTCCAGACTGGAACATGTATTTAGCTTTTCTAAGTAGAAAATGTTTTGAAGGGAAGAATAAAAGGTTCCACTCAACACTTGGCGAGCAATGTTTGTTCTGTAAAATAATTAGCAAGTAAGCTTTATTGAACTGGGTTGTCATATAATTAGAAGAGATTAAAAGAAAAAATTTAGGAGGCTCAGTTTTCTGTTCATAGATCAGCAGGATGATTAGCATAAACCATAGAGGGATGTTTAACAAAGATAACTGTAGGAAGCCAGGCATGGTGGCCCACACCTGTAATCCCAGCTCTTCAGACAGCTGGGTAGAAGGATTGCAAATTTGAAACCAGCCTGGGCAACTTTGCAAGAGCCTGTCTCAAAACTTAAACAATAAAATAAAAAGGGTTGGAGATGTGGCTTATGTAGAGCGCTTGCCTAGCATATTCAAGGTCCTGGGTTCAATCCCCAGCACTGAAAAGGAACAGAAGAAAACAGGTAAATGTAGGAGAAAAGAGCCACCATGAAATGAAGAAAGTGCTGGCCCAGGAGTTAGGGAAGGAGATCAAAGGGAGGGGAAGAAAGCAGGGAGGAAAGTAACAGGGATAAATAATCAAAATATGTTAGACGCATGTGATAATACATCGTAACAGTCTTATGACTCTGCATTACGAATACATTCCAGTTAAAAGGGAAAAAAAAAGAGTGCCGGTGTAGAGATCAGGAACCTCAACTTCTAGTCCCAGCTCTGCCACTTCCAGGACTTGAGTACATGATTTCCCTTCCTCTGCCCCAACTTCCACAGGAATCCTAACGATCCTGGACTCCAACCTCACATAATAACCCCTGCCCGTGACCATCCAGTTGTAATCATGAAAAAACTCCTTTTTCCTGTCTCTGTACACATAATGCAACTAGGGAAGCTCTTGGGATCATTTTTAAAGGTGGTAATGCCATGCAAGGAGCTGGCTACATGGGTGCCAGAAGAGCTGAGAAGCCGAGCAGCTCAGGAAGGTGACCTGAACACCAGCAGCAGTAGGAAGCGACTGCCACTCTGGGCTGGAGGGACAAATAAGATGAGATGCTCTCTACTGCAGCCCAGGAGCTGCAGCCACAGAGAACAGGCAGCTCCTGGCAGAGGCACCAAAATTCAGGGTAGAGGACTTGGGAAGGATGGCTGATCTTTCTCCTGCCCTCAAATCTTCAGCCAGTGCCTCTGATTGGCCAGATCCAGCCAGAACCAGCTGACAATCGAGTCAGGCAAATGCAGCCTGTAGGGTCAATGCCTCTCCCACACAGCACAGGGAAAGGACAAGGAACTAGCCTGAAGACAGACAGGCCAGGTGTCATGAGATACCAGTCCTCCATGTGTTACTAACCCTGCAGCAGGATGGAACCCGACTGTATGCATTTGAGTGTGTGTGTGCATCCAGCCAGGCCTTGCTTTTGCCTTCCCTGACTGACATTCTAACTTCCTCATTCAAAATGGTTTCCAGGCCTCTTCCTCACCTGGAGGCTGCCTGATGTGTGGCCTTCTAATGACCCTAAGATTCCAGGCCTATGACCCCACCTCCAACACAGCAGGATCATCCACACCACTCTTGGGGTAAGATAGTTGTTCTCCCACTGGGTTTGTTGTAGTTGTTGTTGTTATTGTCTTGTTTTTTTGTTTTGTCTTTGTGAGACAGAGTCTCGCTATGCAGTTCAGGCTGGCCTTGAGCTCACTTTATAGCTCAGACTGGTCTCAAACTCACAACAATCCTCTTGCCTCAGCCTCCCAAATGCTGGGATTACAGGCATGCGCCATCATACCTGGCTGTTTCATGTTTTTTTTTTTTTAAATTTGTTTGTTTGTTTTGTTTTGGTACCTTGGATTGAACTCAGGACCTCTTACGTGCCAGGCAGCCACTTGTGCAGCTGAGCTATACCCCGCCGCCCTCCTGCTGTTGATTCTTGTAGGACTGGTGGACCTCTAGGACCCATTAACTTTTCTATGTTGTCTCTAAGTCTTCTCTAACTTATCCTAGCAAGATAACTGCCAAGTGGAACCATCCAGTTTTCTTCTACTAAGTCAGGGCCAGGTTTGGGGGGGTAGCAGGGGTGGAAGAGACCAGAGCCAGGGCAGAGCTTCCTGCCACTCCACTGCAGACCTCTCTGCTGGTCCACGAGGAACCGTGAGTCGCTGGGTAGGACTGCCTGGCCACCTCCAGGTCCACCCTGCCGCAAGAGAATCCTGGAAGGCTTCATTAAATCCTTTACTTCAACCATGGTGCAGAGGGTCTGTGTTCCCTTCCCTCTGCACCCGAAGGCCAGAGGACTCCCAGCTAACACTTGCTGCACTTGGAACAGAATTATTCTGATTTAGAATGACTTGCTTAGAGAAAGTTCCCTTGGTTATTTTAGCAGGACACCTAACAAAGTCACGCTGGCTGCCACTGATGACTGTTTTCTTCTCTAAAAGTTCATGAAAACCTTTGTTCCCAACTTCTGCTGGACAGTGACAAATGCTACCAACTGGTTATTTGTAGAATCCGCACCTTTCTTCCATTTGAAAACTGAGCCACCACTGTCCAGTTCCATCTTTTTGTGTACTTTCCCGTCTTCCTGTCTGTTCTCCAGCAGAAGAATCCTGACCGCCCATGCCACAGAGCTGTCCAAGGATCCAGGGAGATGGGACGATGGTGGGCACAGCTAACATAGGCACTCCAGCTGCGTGGCCACACCGTGAAGTTGCCACAGGGAACAGACACTACCTGCCACCAGCAAGACTCCTCGAGGGCTGATCCTGGTGCTGCTGCTGTCAAAACCCACAAAGACCCCCCAGGAACCTGGGCCAGGTGCCACAGAGGCGGGGCACCTTCTCTTTCCTCCCTTCCCAGTTTCCCTACTCCCTGAAATCAGGGCTTTGGAGTCACTATGACTGCAACAGCTCTAAGCAGTCTAAGTACGGGTTAAGAATCCAGAAGGACAGCCGATGCCAGCCCCATCTACACTCTGCCTGCTATGAGGGGTGGATACTCTACAGGGCTCATGGAGGGCACACCCAACAAAGATTCCATGCAAGGACCTGCCCGCTCGGGGCCTAACAGATGTAAGAATGAATTCAAGCACCCTGCCTCAGCCCGGACAGGATCTTCTCCATAGAAATTCTTAGTAACCCTAATACACAGGATCGCTTTGTCACCTGAAATTTTTTCCCTTCTCTCTCCCAAGGTGAAAGAAGGCTGCTGAAATTCACAGACTCCAGTTAAAGATGTGTGCAAAGATTAGGTACCAGGGCCTTTGCTGAAGCTGCTATAGCAGAAAAGTGGAAACAACCCAAACGCCACACCAGGGCTGGTTTAAATACATCACAGCGCACCCACCCAACACACCACAGTGCACCTCTTAAAAGCCCTGCTGTGGAAGACAAGATGGAACGATGTTCACTGCTAATGGCAAAGAAAAGAAAGCAAGCTGAAAAGTGCAAAGCCATCCACACAACGTGGGAAATTTTCAAAATTTGATAACAGTTGACAGTTGACAGCAGTTACAACTAATGGAATTACGAACTGATTTTTTTCCTCTCTTTTGCTTATATGTATTTTCTAATTTTCCTATAGAACCTACACTACTTTTGAAATAAGGAGTGGGGAATAATAAAAGGCTTTTTTTTTTTTTTTAGTGAGCAAGAACTAGGAAAAACTCTTGCCTCCTAGCCGCTTATTCTGCTGAGTGGTTACAAAGTCAGCTCCAAGCCTGAGCCAGCTCAGGCTCCAGGCAGCAGCTGTCTTGGGGTCAGAGACAGGAGATAAGTTACTAAAACTGGGGCCAGGCTGGCCAGCCTCTCCTCCCTGGGGCTGTGGGGACAGGGAAGCTGCGGAACTGTGGGCTCCACAGCCACGCAGCCCCAGCCTCGCACGCCAGGCAGCCTTCCTCCCCTCCCTGAGCCCAGCGGAGGTCTGCAGACAGCTCCCTCCCGGCCCACAAGAGGAGACGGAGAATGAGTCATCTCGCTGGAGCGGATGAAAGCAGTATGATTGTGTTAGCAGAAATGGATCTATTTTATTATCTGTTTCTTGACACCTTACAAATAGAAATGCGTTTCCCACTAGACAAGCAGTTTCCTTAAAAAACCCATGATTCTGTTTGCTGAAGTTAGGAAATGGCCAGTGAGTGTCAGCCACGCGTGGCTGAAGCGCTGCCAGGCTGAACCAACGCAGTGGAAACACTGAGGAAGGTGGTTAGGAGCCTCAGACTCCGGATTCACGTCTGCCAGTGATGGCATTCCCCTAAAAATACTCGGAGGAACTCCCCAGGCCGCTCCCCTTCCACTTTCCTGATGACTTCTTCTCCCCCAAGAAAAGTACCAGCTTGCCAAGTGGGGTTTGCCCAGCCAGGATACCTGCTGCCTGCGGGGAGGGCCTCCTCCTCCCACGGAGAATTTTCCACGCAGGCAGGATGGAGAAGGCGTGTTCTGCCTGCTCGCGCGTGAAACCCACATGCGCGTGGTAGCAGTCGTTACCCTTGGTCTTGTCCACACCAGCAGCCTGCACATCGCGGGAAATGGATGGAGACTCGAGGGTGCTGACGGTCACTTTCCGTGCACGAGCACACCCCGTGTAACTTTTTGCTGTCACAGATAAAAGTGTCTGTAAACCCCACACGCAGAGCCCGGACCACCTGCCACTCAAAACTACCAAAAAATGAGCCACAGAAGGCTTCCACCTCGGGCAGGGAAAGGCGGTCTGGGGCCACGGAGGAAGTTTCCACGCCTGTCCTTGACTCTAAGCGGCTGTTGGGGGGAAGCCTTTCCTACGCGGCTCTTCCTCAAATCTGCAAAGCAGCTGCAGCCAACCCTTAATATGATCCTGGCTGTCTGGGTTCTGAGTAGGGATTTGCACCCCAATATTGCCATTATTTTTTCTTTTCATTAAAAAACCCCGATATTAATATATTTTGATTTTCTACATGGGCTCCCTCAGATCAAAGAGCACATGTTCTTCCAGGTTATCACAGACCGCGGATGCCAGGCATGAAGTCATGGTTCCCTCTTATTACTTCATCCAGTCCTGAGCAAAAGATGCCAGCCCGGGGCGGGGGCACAGCCGGCGCCCACGCGCACGCTCCACTCCACGCGGCGGGGCTGCTGGGAGATGGCCTCCACCTCCAGCTCCCCTCACTGAGTCCACGAGTTTGATCGTCCGAAAACACAGTGGAGTCGTCTGCGCTCTGCTCTGCAGGACCGAAGCACCGAAGACGGCCAGGCACCAGCCGGAGGCCAGGTCGCCCCTGGCAGCCCTGGGCTGCCCGCGGAGCCATCCACTCCCCGAGGCCAGGCCGCATCCCTGCCAGGGGCCTCACCACGGGCTGGAGTCTGCACAACTGGCACCGGTCACCTTTCTTGCCCTCCAAAACGGTTTAAGTGGCCCCACCTGAGTTCCTCATTCAGTGCAGGCGCAGACAGGAAGCACCGAGGGGGAACTGAAGCGCTTCCATAGTTTCTCTTCCTGATTTCTCCTTGCTCTCCAGCACCGGTTTGAAATCCCCTTACAGGCGGAGAGGCGTCTTGACCTGTCACGCAGGGAGAGGCTGCTGGTGCTGTGGTAACACGGATTTAACAAAGATTTACATGCGAAGGCCTGGCTGCTCGGTCCTTCCCCTAACTAGCAAATACTTTAAAATTTACTAAATAAACTTACAAAAGCTGGGGTTTGCGCAGAGAAGGAGCATATGGAGGACGGTTAGCACGGCATCAATCCCTGCAACCGAGGAAAAGTTCTAAAATCAGTTGCTGGCCCCGCCCCCTAACCCTAGCACTTCAGAAGGCTGAGGCAGGAGGGTCAGAACACCCTGCGCGAGTACTGAGTTACCGGGACCGTGTCTCAGTATAAAACATAAAGGACAATACATAAAAAATAAAGGGCAGGAGCTCAGTGCGAAGACCCCATTCAACCCCTAGTACCCAATAGTAATAATAGTAGTAGTAGTAGCAGTGAATAAAACAAAAGTAATTCCTGCCTGTCGAGCCTGATCAGCTGGGCGAGCCAGGAGGGATGCCAGGTCAGAACCAGCCGCACCGGCCAGCGCTCCTCCCCCGCCCACGCCGCGAGGAGGAGGAGGCCGAGACAGCGCCCTCCCAGGCTTCTGGTCGGATGCCAGGCCCCACGTCCGGGTGCAGGAGCTGTCTACGGCCGCGACACTGCGGGGAGACAGCGCTGCCCCCGACCCCGTCCCGCGTCCCCGAGAGGACGCACACATAGGGTTTCGCCGGCCCCGAGGTCGGATTCGACGCGGGCGCCCAGAACTCTGCGCGCTCCGGGAGCTGCTGGCACCCAAACCCCGCAAACTTGGCCACGCCCGACTGCTGGGCAGGGGCCGCCGGCGGCCCGCACAACCTCGGGGAGGGGGCGGTGCCGCCCGCTACTTAACCCCGGCGCCTCCCTCCCTTTCTCCCTCCCCGGCGCCTCCTCCCTGCGTCCCCGCCTCGCGAGCCGCCCCCCTGCGCCGGCCGCCGCCGCCGCCGCCGCCCGCCCCGTTGCCCGGCCCGCGCACTGCCCAAGCCGGCGGCGGCACGGACGGCGGGCGGCGCAGCATGGACTCGGACTCCGGGGAGCAGAGCGAGGGCGAGCCCGTGAGCGCCACGGGTAGGGGGCTCGGTTCGGGGGGCCGGGGCGCGGTGGGGAGGACGAGGCAGGACGGCGCGCGGCTCAGGCTGCCGGGCGCGGGCGCGGGCGTGGGGATGGGGAGGCCGCGCTGCTGCAGATCGCAGCTCCGTCCGCCCTCGGCAGAACTTTCTGCGCGAGGAACGGGAAGCGGGGGCCCGGGGCGCGATCGTCATGCGAGCAGGAGGAGAGGGCGTCCTCCTCCTTGGCTGCCGCTGTCTACCGAGGATGCCGCCCCAGCCTGCCCGGAGAGGCAACCTGCACCGGGGTTCGCGCACCCGGACTGCGGGCGGCAGCGGGGACCAGGCGACTTGGACTCGGGCAGGACAGGGCCTCGCGTGTCCGCTTTGCGGCCGGAGACCCCTCCTGCTGCAGAGTCGTCCCCCCCTCCCCAGGCTCCTGCTCTGGGTGAGAGGAACAGGGCTGGGGACAGGAAAGGCGACGTTGCCAGGAGGACTCGCGTGGGCCAGGGCCACCAGCCGCGCGTGGGCGTGAGTGCGATGGACGCGAGCCTTCCTGTCCCCGCGTCTCTGTGACGGGAAAGCAGGCGGCTCTGCTTCGCAGGTGGCCGGGACCGGGACCTGAGTTCCAGGAGGGCTGGGGCGCAGCTCGGGGCAGCCACGCTGGCCCAGCATCTGCGCCGCCTTCTGTGTGTCCAGATTTGCAGAGCCCGCGGGACCCTGAGGGTTCGTCGCCCCCAGAGCCGGTGACCGGTAACCGGCGCGCCGCTCTTCCTGCCCTGCTCCTCGGCCCTATCCCGCAGTCTCCTCGGGGTGGCGTCTCCTCCTGGGCCCTGAGCACCCCCGTAGAGGCTGAGCCAAGACTGCGCACCCCCCCCCCAGCAGCCTTGTCGCTAAGATCACAGGCATGCGTGCGACAGGGACCAGGTGCCTCCTCTCCTGAGCTGTCACATTTGTTTGCACGTTCGTCTCCTGCAGTCGCAGCTTCTTTCTTCTCGAGCTTGAATCTTGCAAGTTGAGCAGTTATTTTAATAAACGTCAAGAGCTGTTCTGCTAAGTGGTATTGTGTGCATCTCCCCCCCCCCCCGTGCATTTAGTCCTAGTTTCCTTCAAAACGGGGTGCCTGGTCTCCCCTGGCTTTGGTGGCCTCCTTTCAAATGGCATCTGTTGGTCGTTCAAGTGCAGGTTAAATGACAGGTGTGTTTTCCGAGGGGTTAACTTTTGTCCCTGCAAGAATCCGGGTTGGTTGTATCTCTCCAGCTGAAGGAGTCTGTAAGGGGTGGTTGCAGAGCCGGTGTAGAGAGGGTGTGAATGAGACCTGTGTGCCCCTTCCTGGCAGGAAGCCGCAGGGTTGGATCTGCTGTCTCTTTAAGCTTGTGGAAAAGCCACTAGTTGGACTTTCCCATTTTAAAACAGCAAACTCTGGGATTGGAGAGACCTTTGTTTCTGTCTCCATCTGAAGGACAAGTGACTTAAGGTTCCCTAAATCAGCTTCCCTGATTTTGGGTATGGGGGGGGGGTTAAATAACACATGAAAATCCGTTTTGGTAACCATTCAGTGCATGGGGGAACTGTTGTTTTGATGATCACCGGCTTCGATAGTTTGTGAAAATACTAAATCACAGACCCCAGGACTTTGTCCAATAGGAAACACTAGGCCTGTGTAAGACAATCAACATCACTGCCATTGTTAGCCTGTTAATGTGGTTTCAGCAGAGATCTGTCTTGAATTTTTTCCTTTTCAGTGGGCGAGTGGGTGTGGAGTGTGTGCTGGGGAGGGGTTACCAGTTTCCACATGGTTTCCCAGCCCCACGGAAGGGATGGGGAGGTCCTGGTGCCACCCTGCAGCCGCAGGAGAACAGTAAAGGGGAGAACCCCTTCCTCCACGCCCACCCACCTGTGCCTGGGACAGTTCCTTCCTTCCTTCCGCAGGGTCTCGCCTTCCTGGTGACCTGTCTGCAGAAGGTGCGGCCGTCTTACGGGTCACACACTTCTTTCCACGCCTCCTTCATGAGTGTCCAGGGGCTGCACAGATCTCACCAGATGCCTGCAGTAGCAGCGGCCCAAGGGGCAGGCATAGCGATGGGGGCCAAGCTGATGCTTGGCAGTTTGTGTTTGGAGAGCATGGAGTGCAGCTTCTGTGTGATTCCGCTGCCTGGAGCCCCCTCCAACTTTCCATCAGAGTCTGGTTAGCAAGAGGCAGGGTTTACGGAACCCTGGACTCACTCCAGAGACCCAACTTGGCGAGCTTCCCTTTGGCAAACCCACCATCCTTCCCTGCCCCAGGAATCCTAGCGCTTGATGTTTTAACAGGGAATGAGAATGGCCCATCAATCTTTCCTGAGGAGCAACAGGGGAGTGAATGTTAACCATGCCAGCATTTTCCCTCCTGGCTCAAGATACTGCCACGGTCTCCCCAGTCCAGGGCAGACGAGCTTCTGCTAAGGCGAAGGGGTCCAGGGCAGTTGCATGATGGGCTTCCTGGAGCCTGGGGTGCGGCCATGGCATAAGATTTCCATGCCATGGGGTCTGTGTGTGGCAGGGACCTCAAGAGAGTGGAACTGGGAGGATGGAGGACCCCTAACTCTGTCCTGCCTGTCCCCCAATGTCCTCAGCTTGGCCCATGTAGACAAAGTGACCAGAGGTGGGCAGTCAATGAGTGGCCACAAAGAGGTGTATATGGGAGGCCAAGGTGAAGAAGGTCTTACAAATCCAGAGGGAGCCGCCAGGATGTGAGCTGGAGACGCCTCCCCGGGTGACATTTCAAGGAATCAACTCCAGAAGCTGGCAGCAGATTGCAGGGAGCAGGGAGGGGAGAGGAGTGTGGAAGGAGCCAGTGGCATGTGGAGGTGGGTGAGGGCAGCTGAGCAAAGACGCCCAGGAGGCGGAGAGGAGGGGGCGACAGGAGTACTGCTCCCTAGGCCCTTGGCAGGTGGCGAGGTTTCGGTCCAGGGTCTTTTCCTTTTTCCTGTTTCCTGTTTCCTCTTGGACGGTAAACTGCAGGTGGGAGGGAGGGAGGTCTGTGGGTCGCTGGCTCCCATGGTTGGGTTCCTCGTGATGGCTGTTGAGTAACCTTTGTGGACAGATTGATGCTGGTGGACTGGCCAGACACGGGCGGGACAGCCTGGGGTGATATGCCACCTGGCGAGAAGTCACCTCTCTCCCTCTCATTCCTGTGGTTGACATGTGCACATGGCCACGCCACACACAGTAGCCCTGTTGACCGCTGATGACAAGCATGTCCTGCGTTTTCCCGGGCTCCCGGGCATTTCCTGGGCACGGCCGGTGAGCGAGCACTGTGCCCCCACCCAGTGCTTGCCACTGGAGCCTGGTGGGCAGCAGCGCAGCTCCAAAGCTGACCCCCAGAGGTTTCCCTCCAGTACTGCCTTGCACCTGAAGGTTCCGTGCAGTGTCCTGGACTCCGCTGGGAACTGTGGGAATGTGAAGAGGACGGAGGACACAGACCTGCTGTGGGATGAGGCAGGGCATAGACCCTGACTCCCTCGGCCTTGGTCCCCACAGAAGTCTGACTTCCCTGCAGGGATCCCGCCTCCTGGGGATCTCCCGGCAGGGCCTCCCCTGCAGCAGCACATAGCCTGTACAGAGAACGCTCTATTCCCGTGCCTATCTGTCAGTCAGCTCCGTCTGTGTCACCCCTGTCCTCGAAGGCAGTGGCAGGGCAGCGGGAGGCAGACTCGCTCATGTGTGCTATAGGTGCTGCTCAGGCCGGAAGCAGACTCCGAAGCTGCCATCAGCACACAGGCTCGCTTAGAGCTTCTCTCAGCTCAGGACTGGAGGATGGAGAGGAGCAGGAAGGGGCTGTGCCAGGCAAAGGGGAAGCTTAGCTGCAGGCAGCACCACCATGGCCTGGTCATGCCCACGAGGAGCTGGGGAGCCAGGGTGGCCCTTCGGATGTTCCCAGTAGTGTGAGGGTCCACCGTGGCTGGCCGATGATGCAGCCTGGGATGGTGGGCGGCTGGCTGCCCACAGAGGAAGCCCTTCCCTCCGAGGCCATGTGGCAGTGGCCCCCACAAATGGCCTTCACAGTCCTTCTGGGAATTCCATCAGCAACAGTGACTATGCCCACCCGAGGCATGCAGGGGACGGTCGGTGAGTTGGAAATGACTGAGACCCCTTGCAGAAGTCGAGACCTCCAGGTGAAAGAAACCTTTCTGTACCACATATGCCATCTTGACAGATAAGACTTCAGCAGCCCGCCTGAGTCTGGATTTATATGTTTGTAGCCATGTTAGGGAGAGAACACCCCAGCCCCCAAAAAACTGAATCTGTAAATTGGGCAGCACCTGCAGTAACAGTGTAGGGTAGTCTGCAGTTCGGGGGGGCGGGGGCTGGGAGTGGAGAGAACGTGTGTGAGCAGGTACACATAAAGTCGTGTTCCCCTTATTTTTCCCTTGAAAAATAAAATAGCCCCTGTTTTGCCATTTGTCAGCCAAACTGTAGTCACACTTTCTGTTAACACTTTTTTCTAACGGGTTCGTTTTCCTCTAGTTGCCATTGGCTCCCATTTGAATCCATGTGTAAGTCTCTATAAAGGCACGGTATAAATAATTTTATTTTGCTTTTCAGCCTTTTGGCTTCCCAGTCTTTATGCCAAGTGCCCGTGTAGGTGGGTGTTTGGGCTACAGTATATAAAGCATAGAAATTAAAGGATAGGGCTGGGGGTGTCGCTCCTCTGTGGGAGAGCATTTGTTTAGCATGCCTGAGGCCCTGGTTCAATTCCCCAGCACCACACACAAGAAAGACAGAAGGGAGGAAGGGGAGGGAATGAGAAAAGACAGAATGAGAGAAAGGGAGAAAGAAATGAAGAAAAGAGAGAAAGAAATAAAATTTGTAACGTAACTTTCCTCTAACAACTCTGTCAAAAAAGTAAAAAGAGTAAACACCCTTCCCTTCCCCTATGTGAAGGCTTAAAAATGCATTTTTTTTACACATTAGAAATGTTCTTTTCAGGCAACTGCGAGGCACACATTCTGTGCTTCTTCATAGCAAACTTTGCATTCA